AAGACATGGGGGACACAGAGGAACAACCACCCTGTCCCTGAGAATTCCCCAGTTCTCTGGCCAATTTGAATGAAACCCAGCAACTCTTTGTGTTCCATCCTTCAATATTGTGAGGTCTCTCTATATACTTAGTAAATGCTCCTTTTTACCTCAGTGGACTAATGCTTTTTAGTCACATGCATCCTGACTTCAACAAAACAAATTGCTTATCTGAATCAACTCTGGCCTGTACCATGCCCAGTCATTTGAATTAATATTTTATCCTTCTAATCAATAAATCCAGGAGCTGGTTTTTTGAAAAGATCAACAAAATAGACCACTAGCCAGATTAATAAAAAAGAAAAGAGAGAATAACCAAATTGATGCAATAAAAAATGATAAAGGGGATATCACCACAGATTCCACAGAAATTCAAACCATCATCAGAGATTATTACAAACAACTCTATGCACATAAACTAGTAAACCTGGAAGAAATGGATAAATTCCTGGACACCTGCATCCTTCCAAGCCTAAACCAGGAAGAAGTTGAAACCCTGAGTAGACCAATAACAAGAGCTGAAGTTGAGGCAGCAATTAAAAGCCTACCACCCAAAAAAAGCCCAGGTCCAGATGGGTTCACAGCCAAATTCTACCAGACATACAAAGAGGAGCTGGTACCATTCCTTCTGAAACTATTCCAAATAATCCAAAAAGAGGGGAACCCTTCCCAAATCATTTTATGAGACAAACATCATCCTGATTCCAAAACCCAGCAGAGACTCAACAAGAAAAGAATACTTCAGGCCAATATCCATGATGAACATAGATGCAAAAATCTTCAATAAAATACTGGCAAGCCGATTGCAACAACACATCAAAAACTTATCCACCATGATCAAGTAGGATTCATCCCAGGGATGCAAGGCTGGTTCAATATATGCGAGTCCATAAACGTAATTCATCACATAAACAGAACCAAAGACAAAAACCACATGATTATCTCAATTGATGCAGAGAAGGCCTTTGACAAAATTCAACAGCCCTTTATGCTAAAAACCCTCAATAAACTAGGTATTGATGGAATGTATCTCAAAATAATAAAAGCTATTTATGACAAACCAACAGCCAATATCATACTGAATGGGGCAAAAACTGGAAGCATTCCCTTTGAAATCTGGCACTAGACAAGGATGCCCTCTCTCACCACTCCTATTCAATATAGTACTTGAAGTTCTAGCCAGAGCAATCAGGCAAGAAAAAGAAATAAAGGGTATTCAAATAGGAAAGGAGGAAATCAAATTGTCTCTATTTGCAGATGATATGATTGTATATCTAGAAGACCCCATTGTCTCAGCCCAAAATCTCCTGAAACTGATAAGTGACTTCAGCAAAGTCTCAGGATACAAAATCAATGTGCAAAAATCACAAACTTTCCTATACACCAATAACAGACTTAAAGAGAGCCAAATCAAGAATGAACTGCCATTCACAACTGCTACAAAGAGAATAAAATACCTAGGAATACAACTAACAAGGAATGTAAAGGACCTCTTCAAGGAGAACTACAAGCCACTGCTCAACGAAATAAGAGAGGACACAAACAGATGGAGAAACATTCCATGTTCTTGGTTAGGAAGAATCAATATCGTGAAAATGGCCATACTGCCCAAAGTAATTTAGAGATTCAATGCTATTCCCATCAAGCTACCAATGACCTTCTTCACTGAACTGGAAAAAAACACCTTAAACTTCATATGGAACCAAAAGACAGCCCACATAGCCAAGTCAATTCTAAGCAAAAAGAACAAAGCAGGAGGCATCACACTACCAGACTTCAAACTATACTACAAGGCTACAGTAATCAAAACAGCATGGTATGGGTACCAAAACAGAGATATAGACCAATGGAACAGAACAGAGGCCTCAGAGGAAACAAACAACATATCTACAACCATCCAATCTTTGACAAACCTGACAAAAACAAGCAATGGGGAAAGGATGCCCTCTTTAATAAATGGTGTTGGGAAAACTGGCTAGCCATGTGCAGAAAGCAGAAACTGGACCCCTTCCTGATACCTTACACTAAAATTAACTCCAGATGGATTAAAGAGTTAAACATAAGACCTAACACCATAAAAACCCTAGAAGAAAATAGGCAAAACCATTCAGGACATAGGCGTAGGCAAGGACTTCACGACCAAAACACCAAAAGCATTGGCAACAAAAGCCAAAATAGACAAATGGGGCCTAATCAAACTCCACAGCTTCTTCATGGCAAAAGAAACAGTCATTAGAGTGAATCAGCAACCAACAGAATGGGAAAAATTTTTTGCAGTCTACCCATCTGACAAGGGGCTGATTACAAATAACTAAAACAGATCTACAAGAAAAAAACAAACAAGCCCATTCAAAAGTGGGCGAAGGATACGAACAGACACTTTACAAAAGAAGACATACATGAGGCCAACAAACATATGAAAAAATGCTCCTTATCACTGGTCATTAGAGAAATGCAAATCAAAACTACATTGAGATACCATCTCACGCCAGTTAGAATGGTGATCATTAAAAAATCTGGAGACAACAGATGCCGGAGAGGAGATGGAGAAATAGGAACACTTTTACACTGTTGGTGGGAGTTTAAATTAGTTCAACCATTGTGGAAGACAGTGTGGTGATTCCTTAAGGACCTAAAAATAGAAATTCCATTTGACCCAGCAATCCCATTACTGGGTATATATCCAAAGGATTATAAATCATTCTACTATAAGGACACATGCACACGAATGTTCATTGCAGCACTGTTTATAATAGCAAAGACCTGGAACCAACCCAAATGCCCATCAATGATAGACTGGACAGGGAAAATGTGGTACATATACACAATGGAATATTATGCAGCCATCAAAAACGATGAGTTCATGTCCTTTGTAGGGACATAGATGAACCTGGAAACCATCATTCTCAGCAAACTGACACAAGAGCAGAAAATCAAACACCACATGTTCTCACTCATAGGCGGGTGTTGAACAATGAGAACACATGGACACAGGGAGGGGAGCACTAGACACTGGGGTCTGTTGGGGGGAAATGGGGGAGGGACGGGGGTGGGGAGTTGGGGAGAGATAGCATGGGGAGAAATGCCAGATATAGGTGATGGGGAGGAAGGCAGCAAATCACACTGCCATGTGTGTACCTATGCAACAATCTTGCATGTTCTTCACCTGTACCCTAAAACCTAAAATGCAATAAAAAATATATATATTTTATCCTTCTTTTTTGTTTGTTTGTTTGTTTGTTTGTTTTGAGATGGAGTCTTGCTTTGTCACCAGACTGGAGTGCAATGGTGTGATCTCAGCTCACTGCAACTTCTGCCTCCTGGGTTCAAGCAATTCCCCTGCCTCAGCCTCCTGAGTAGCTGGGGCTACAGGCATGCACCACCATACCCCACTGTTTTTTGTATTTTAGTAGAGACAGGGTTTCACCATGTTGGCCAGGATGGTCTCCATCTTCTGACCTTGTGATCCACCCATCTCAGCCTCCCAAAGAGCTGGGATTACAGGCGTGAGCCACTGTGCCCAGCCCATCCTTGACTCTTCTTCCTTTTTTTATTTTTTTGAGGCGAAGTTTAGCTCTTGCCCAGGCTGGAGTGCAATGGCACAATCTCGGCTCACCACAATCTCCGCCTCCTGGGTTCGAGCAATTCTCCTGCCTCAGCCTCCCAAGTAGCTGGGATTACAGGCATGAGCCACCATGCCCAGCTAATTTTTTTTGTATTTTCAGTAGAGATGGGGTTTCTCCAGGTTGGTCAGGCTGGTCTCAAACTCCTGACCTTAAGTGATCCATCTGCCTCTGCCTCCCAAAGTGCTGTGATTACAGGAGTGAACCACCTCACCTGACCCATCCTTGACTCTTCTTATGCTAATTATGACTTTGGGCAAATTATTGTTGACTCTGTGTATTTTAACACTGCTATAAAGATACCTCTTGAGACTGGGTACTTTATAAACAAAAGAAGTGTAATTGACTCACAGTTTCCCATGGTTGGAGAGGGCTTGGGAAACTTACAATCATTGTTGAAGGTAAAGGGAAAGCAGGACACATCTTACAGGGCAGCAGGCAAAAGGGAGAGAAAGGGGGAAGTCCTAGACACTTGTCAAACAAGCTGATCTCCTGAGAACTCACTATCAAGAGAACAGCATGGGAAAACCGCCCCCATGATCTAATCACCTCCCACCAGGACCCTCCCTTGACATGTGGGGATTACAATTCGGATTACAATTCAGGATGAGATTTGGGTGGGAACACAGACCCAAACTGTTTCACTCTGTGTCTCAGTTTCTTTAGTAGGTAAATTGCAACAATTTCATATGATGCTTTTTCACTTTCCATACATTATCTCATGTGAATTTTTAAAAAGTTCTTATGATATAGGTGAATAATTTTTTTCCCACATTTTACAAACCAAGGAACTTTCTCAAGATCTCACAATTAAGTATTAGTGAAATGGGACTCAAACACCAGTCTGACTTCTGTCTGCTTAGGTGGTCATCAACTCTACGTCAGAGAATATAAAAAAATTGTTTAAATGGCAAGTCTTTGCAGATTGATTAAGATCCCCTTCTTGAGAATTTTTGGTGAAAGACTTTGAAGTCATCAAACATACCAGTGACTTCACATTATATTTGTATGAGTCCTCTTTCAAAATATATTGATAATGTGACTGGGCATGGTGGCTCATGCCTGTAATCCAACACTTTGGGAGGCCAAGGTGGACAGATCACCTGAGATCAGGAGTTTGAGACCAGCCTGGCCAACATGGTGAAACACCATCTCTACTAAAAATACAAAAAATTGCTGGGCATGGTGGTGCATGCCTGTAATCCCAGCTACTCGGGAGGCTGTGGCAGAAGAATCGCTTGAACCCGGGAGGCACAGGTTGCAGTGAGCTGAGATTATGCCATTGTACTCCAGCTTGGGTAACAGAGTGAGACTCCATCTCAAAAAAGTGTAGATAGTGTGCTTGCTTCAGCAGCACATATACTAAAAAACTGAAACAATACAGAGAAGATTAGCATGGCCCCTGCACAAGGATGACACACAAATTTGTTTTGAAAATTATTTTTAAAAAATAAGAAAAAAGTTATAAAAAAGAAAAATGTTTCAAAATGTAGATCGATACATAGATAATGAATTTAATGATAGGACCACTAGGGTGGAGATCTGTAGTTATAATAAAGTACTCTATTTCTAAAAGTATGCATAATACTTGCCTATGTCATGGGCTTCATGAAGAATTCCAGTTACTATCTGAAAGTTTAATTGTGTAAAGTTTAGGGCTCAAGATCTTATCTTCATGGGCAATACCTGGTACTTCCCCACTGTAAAGTATGCTAGCTCAGGTCACAAGGAGCTTTGAGTGCTAGGATAGTACCACATGGTCCAGTTCCCCAGAACTTCTTCCCAGTGTCTTCATGGCCACTCACACAGCCTAAACAGGTCTAGCCACTGGCAGCTGTCTTCCCCTCCTTCCTCCAGGCCAGGGCTCAGCCTGATTCTGCTCAGAGCCTAAATGTAGCTCCCTGAGAGCCTTGGGGTGGCTGGTCTTTGCTGCTCTCCAGAACCACCTTATACTCTTCCATGCAGAACCCTGCAGAGTCACCATGCCTTCCTCCAGCTGCTGCCACCAGACCACATGGCTTCTTTCTCAGTTCACCCTGAAAGAGAAGAGTACGTTATGCAAACTAGGTACAAGCACAAGAGCACAACCCCCCTCCTCACTCACACAGAGAAGCACACTGGGGGCTCCTTGTGTAATTTAGAGATTAACTCATGTTGCAATTGTGCCTATGTGAAAAAGAAACAGAAGGAGAAATCAGGTTTGGAGTTGATTCACTGCTGCAAGGGCTCACCTTCAGTCTGACCTGTGTAGTAAGTCTGAGAGAAGCACCGAGGGTATGACTGGAAAAGACCATAACATTAAACTATTTTAGTATACTGATGATAGCTACCATTATAATGATATATAATATTAGTAACATTGAAGTCTTTATGCCATACTGTGTGTTAATCTTTTATGTATGTCGTGTATATAATACATGTAAAACCTTTAACATAGTGCGTGACACAAAGTAAGTGCTCAATAAATAACATAATCATAGCATTATTAACTCATTTGTCTTCACAACCATTCTGAATTATTTGCCAAGCCTTTGCTCTTCAGTCAGTTATTCCTTCAGAAAATGTTTATTGAAGATGTACTATGAACCCAGCATTATGTTAGGCCCTGGGGATACTTAGAAGAGTGAATGGCCTTTCAGACATGGGTTCTAATCTGGTTTAACCACTATCTTTTTTCTGGGTAACTTTGAGTGTGCTTGTTAAGCTGTCTGAGCCTGAGTTTATTAAACTGTTAAATGAGTACAATAATTGCTATGTCATAGGATTGTCGATAGGACTAGAAACACATGCAAAGGGCTTAGCCCAGCACAGTATTCATATAAGGAGAAGCTCCTCAGCCAGGCTCCTGGCTCACGTCTGCAATCCCAACACTTTGGGAGGCTGCGGCAGGTGAATCAACTGAACTCAGGAGTTTGAGACCAACCTGAGCAACATGGCAAAACCCCATCTCCACAAAAAGTACAAAAATTAGCCAGGTGTGGTGGTGCATGCCTATAGTCCCAGCTACTCAGGAAGGGGAGGATGAGGTGGGAGGATCTCCTGAGCCTGGGAGGTGGAGGTTGTAGTGAGCCAAGATCATGCCCACTCCAGCCTGGGCTACAGAAAGCCCTTGCCAAAAAAAAAAAAAAAAAAAAAAAAAAAAAAAGCATAATTTAATATGGAATTTGTACATGTATTCCTGAAAAAGGATTCAAAGGGAGAACCTCTTCCCAGGGTCACAGAGTGATCAGTGGCAAAAGCTTGGACTTGGAGGCTTAGCTTACCTGCCATCTTCCTACTGCATCAAAGCAGAAATTGTCATGTGATTGTCCAATGTGATTCAAAGTTTGAAGTCTGGATTTCTCTGAAAACTTTGGTGTATCTATATTCCGTATGTCTCTTGGACAGATGGAGAGCTGCTGTATACAGAAGGGAGATTTTTTTAAATTGAGGAATCTAACTCAAGAATAAATTCAAGGCAGGGTGCGGTGGCTCACGCCTGTAATCCAAACATTTTGGGAGGCTGAGATGGAAGGATCACCTGAGGTCAGGAGTTCTAGACCAGCCTGGCGAACATGGTGAAACTCTGTCTCTACTAAAAATATAAAAATTATCCAGGCATGCTGGCATGCGCCTGTAGTTCCGGCTACTCAGGAGCCTGAGGCACAAGAATTGTTTAAACCTGGGAGGTGGAAGTTGCAGTGAGCTGAGTTTGTGTCACTGCACTCTAGCCTGGGCGACAGAGCAAGACCAGAGCAAGATTGCCTTTTTTTTTTTTTTTTTTTTTTTTTTGAGACGGAGTTTCGCTCTTGTTACTCAGGCTGGAGTGCAATGGCGCAATCTCGGCTCACCGCAACCTCCGCCTCCTGGGTTCAGGCAATTCACCTGCCTCAGCCTCCTGAGTAGCTGGGATTACAGGCACGCACCACCATGCCCCGCTAATTTTTTGTATTTTTAGTAGAGACGGGGTTTCACCATGTTGACCAGGATGGTCTCGATCTCTTGACCTCGTGATCCACCCGCCTCAGCCTCCCAAAGTGCTGGGATTACAGGCTTGAGCCACCGCGCCCAGCCCTTTTTTTTTTTTTTTTTTTAAGAGATGGGGTTTCACCATTATGGCCAGGCTGGTCTTGAACTCCTGACCTCAGGTGATCCACCCACCTTGGCCCACCAGAGTGCTAGGATTACAGGCATCAGCCACCGCACCTGGCCCCAAGACTGTCTTTTTTTTTTTTTTTTTTTTTTTTTTTTGAGACAGAGTTTCCCTCTTGTTACCCAGGCTGGAGTGCAATGGCGCGATCACAACCTCCACCTCCTGGGTTCAGGCAATTCTCCTGCCTCAGCTTCCTGAGTAGCTGGGATTACAGGCACACGCCACCATGCCCAGCTAATTTTTTTTTTGTATTTTTAGTAGAAACGGGGTTTCACCATGTTGACCAGGATGATCTCGATCTCTTGACCTCGTGATCCACCTGCCTCCGCCTCCCAAAGTGCTGGGATTACAGGCTTGAGCCACCGCGCCCGGCCTAAGACTGTCTTAAAAAAAAAAGAGAGAGAATAAATTCAGATCCTTTAGAAATCTTCATACACTTAGCATAACATGAAGTTAAATACAAGAGAGCCCCCCTTAGTTCCATGGTATTTCTGATGAAAAAGTAAGAAATATGAAGCCACAGAGCCAAACAGTTTTTAAAACCTTAGGAAGATAATTTTTCCTTTGTTGATTACCATCCAGAGATAACATTTGTTTGAAACTTTGAACAGAATCAGTTTGTAAGAATGAAACCCTCATTCTTCCCCACCAGGGCCCAAACTTTCCATATCTTATCCTCTGAGAACCTTAAAGCCTTCAAATGATTTGCAGTCCCAACGAGGAAGCTGAAATCAAAACTGACCTGGGGAAAAACTGTTTACTTTCTGACCTCTTTGTACTCTTCAGAGAATTCTTGTATGCTTGTTTATTTTCTTAATGTGTCTTATGTTTTTTTTTTTCTTGTTTTGGTTTCATATATGAAATGTTCCATCTGTGTATTCATTTTCTGGATTTATTCCCTACAATTTTAAGTAAGAATGTCTCTGAAACTTTTTTTTAACTCCAACCCACAATAAGAAATATATTTTGCAGGTTAACCTAAATACACATGTATTTATGTATATATCTAAATTAAGTTTTGTGAAATAATACCCTTGCAATGAGGTATGCACTATGGTTTTTAAAAATTCGCTTCCACTCTATATACACAAAAGTTGGGACAGAGGTACAGCTGGAGCAGGGAAGGGATGAATAGGTAGAACACAGGGCACTTTTAGGGCAGTGATAGATGCATGACATTATACATTTACCAAACCCCACAGAACTGTACAACAAAAGAGTGAATCCTAATGTAAACTGTGGACTTCTTTTGTTTCTTGTTTTTTTTTTTTTTTTTTTTTTTTTTTTTTTTTTTTTTTTTTAATTTCATTTTTTACTCTCTTTCCTGCAACTGTCTTGATTGAAAACTGTGGACTTCTTTTTTTTCTTTTCTTACTATTTTTCCTTTTTTGAGACAGAGTCTTGCTCTTGTTGCCCAGGCTGGAGTGCAATCTTGGCTCACTGCAACTTCCACCTATCTGATTCAAGTGATTCTCCTGCCTCAGCCTCCTGAATAGCTGGGATTACAGGCCTCCACCACCATGCCTAGCTAATTTTTATATTTTCTTAGTAGAGATGGGGTTTCACCATGTTGGCCAGGCTGGTCTCAAACTCCTGACCTCGTGATTCACCCGCCTTGGCCTCCCAAAATGCTGGGGTTATAGGCGTGAGCCACTGCACCCTGCGTACTATTATTATTATTATTATTATTACTATTACTTTTTTTTTTTTTTTTTGAAACGGAGTTTCGGTCGTTACTCAGGCTGGAGTGCAATGGTGCAATCTCGGCTCACCGCAACCTCCGCCTCCTGGGTTCAAGCAATTCTCCTGCCTCAGCCTCCTGAGTAGCTGGGACTACAGGCCGGCGCCACCATGCCCAGCTAATTTTTTTTGTATTTTTAGTAGAGGCGGGGTTTCACCATGTTGACCAGGATGGTCTGGATCTCTTAACCTCGTGATCCACCCGCCTCAGCCTCCCAAAGTGCTGGGATTATAGGCGTGAGCCACCGTGCCTCGCCCTATTATTATTTTTAAAGACAAGGTCTCGCTGTGTCACCCAGGCTGGTGTGCAGTGGCATGTTCTTGGCTCACTACAACCTCCACCTCCTGTATTTAAGTGATTCTCATGCCTCAGCCTCCTGAGTGGCTGGGATTATAGGTGCATGCTACCATGCCAGGCTAATTTTTGTATTTTTAGTAGAGACAGCATTTTGCCATGTTACCCAGACTGATCTTGAACTCTTGATCTGCCCACCTCAGCCTCCCAAAGTGCTGGGATTATAGGTGTGAGCCACCCACCATGCCTAGCCAAACTGTGGACTTTGGTAGTGATAG